ATAACTGGAAATTTGTACCTTTTGACTCCCTTTTCCCGATTTGCCCTCCTCTCACTCCCCGCCTCAGGTAACTACCAAACTGTTCTCTATACCCCTGATCTTGGCTTTTTTTTTTTTTTTTTTTAGCTTCCACTTATAAGTGAGATCACATGGTATTTGTCTTTCTCTGTTTGACTTATTTCACTTAGCATAATGCTCTAAGGGTTCATCCATGTTGTCATTAATGGCAAAATTTCCATCTTTTTTATGGCTGAATAATATTTCAGTGTGTGTGTGTGTGTGTGTGTGTGTGTGTGTATACCACATTTCTTTATCTATTCATTTGTTGGTGGACTTTTAGGTTTTTTTTTTATGTCTTGGCTATTGTAAATAATGCTGCAATGAACATAGAGGTGCATATGTCTTTTTGAGTTAGTCTTTTTGGTTTGTTTTTTTTTTCAGATAAATAACCAGAAGTGGAATTGCTGGATCATATGGTAGTTTTATTTTTAACTTTTTGAGGAAGCTCCATACAGTTTCCATGGTGGCTGCACCAATTAATATTCTAACCAGCAGTGCACAAGGGTTACCTCTTCTCCACATCCTTGTCAACCAACATGTTATTTCTTGTCTTTTTGATAGTAGCCATTCTAACAGATGTGAGATGGTATCTTACTGTGGTTTTGATTTGCGTTGCCCTGATGATTAGTGATGTTGAGCATCTTTTCATGTACCTGATGGCCATCTGTATGTCTTCTTTGGAAAAATGTCTCTTCAGATCCTCTGCCCATTTTTAAATAGATTTTTTTTTTTTGCTGTTGTTATATGAGTTCTTTATACATTTTGGATATTAACTCCTTATCAGATACTTGATTCGCGAATATTTTCTCCAATTCAGTAGGTTGCCTTTTCATTGTATTGATGGTCCCCTTTACTGTGCAGGAGCTTTTTAGTTTGATGGATTCCCACTTGCTGATTTTTTTGTTGCCTTTGCTTTTCATGTCAAATCCAAAACATTGTCACGAAGATGAATGCCAAGGAGCTTACTGCCTGTGTTTTCTTCTAGGAGTTTTATGGTTTCAGGTCTTACATTCAAGTCTTTAATCCATTTTGAGTTGATTTTTGTGTATCATGTAAGACAGTGGTCCAGTTTCATTCTTTTGCATGTGGCTGTCCAGTTTTCCCAACACCACTGATTGAAGAGACTGTCCTTTCCCCATTGTATATTCTTGGCTCCTTTGTTGTAAATTAATTTATGTATATATGTGTGGATTTATTTCTGGGCTCTTGATTCTGTTCCATTGATCTGTGTGTCTGTTTTTATGCCAATACCATACAGTTTTGATTACTATAGCTTTGTAATATAGTTTGAAATCAGTGAGCATGATGACTCAGATTTGTTCTTCTTTCTTAAGATCGCTTTGACTATTTGGGGTCTCTTATGATTCCATACAAATTTTAGGATTGTTTGTTCTATATCTGTGAAAAGTGCCATTGAAATTTTGATACGGATTTCATTAAATATGTAGATTGCTTTGGGTAATATAGACATTTTAACGATATTAATTCTTCCAATCCATGAGCATGGAATATCTTTCCATTTATTAGCCTTAATCAATGCTTACCAAAAGGGGAGGAGTGATCAGTTGTGAGCCAGTAACTGCCTCCTACCATCTCCCATCCACTCTGCAGCTTTCAGGACAAATGTCTCAGTAGTCTCTGAATTCACACCCCTCGGGATGGGTAAAACTTTATTTCCATGTGTTCTTATATAATCATTTGGATTAAACAGAATGTAATCTAAACATAAGTGAAGCAGTTTTCTCCCCCTAAAAAGCACGCCTAATTTTACACACAAAAAATTCCTTTTCCCTTAGAAAAGGGCAAAAGTGAATTCATTTTGAACTCGTTACATATTAAGTATCAATAATTTTAATTCAGTGTTTTATTTGATCTCTATTTTTGGTGCCTGCATTGACAGTTTAGAGTGCATATCAGTATTTATCAATATTAGGTACAGTAGCATAAAAATTTTTCCTGTACTAGGTTGACATTTTATTTTACATCGATTGCACAAGACAAACTTCTTTCAATTGTCTGAAAGTTGTTTCTTTCCAAGGAACAAAGAACATGATTTAGCTAACACTGTGGACATATCAATAGGAATGAAACAAAATGATTTCTTTTGTGTTCATATATATGTGAAAGTAAAGAACAAATGAAACTAAAATGCTTTGGGCAGACCAATTATCTCTTTTGTCTCAAGCATGCCCAAAGTGCCTTCAAAAACACAAAATTTACATTGTTAGAGTCAATAAATCATTCCGTTTGAGTGCCTCGCGCTACTCCTCACACAACATAATTAACAATCTAAACAGGGTATGCAGTGGATCCAGGTGTAGAGATGCTGTTTAATTAAAAATGGGACTACTTCCAATGATTTGATTTGTTCTGAGCTGTCATTTTGAGTCTTCACACTGTTGAACACTGATCTAGATTTCCAAAGTGGAACCACTTTAGGAGGGGTTCATTTTGCGTTTCTGAGAGTGAGTCACTTTGGTCTTTTTCCCAATGAATAGTCTGTATTTTCATTTCAATATTTTTTTTTCCTGAGTAGCATGATTTGCTATAACATTTCATTTTGTTTTGGACATATGTAATGTTTCTATAAGTCATTCCTTCACTCAATAATTATTTAATATTATATACCAAGCACTGGGTTAGATGTGGGGAAGACAATGGTAAGGAGGATATATGTGGTATCATGCCTCGTGAAGCTAATATTGAAGTAAGAGTGGCAGAAATGACATAAGTGAGAATATAATTAAATACAAAATAAATCTGTGATAAATAATTGGAGGTAGTCACTCTAAATAGAGCAGTTAGAGAAAACCTTTTTGGAAGGCATTAAGTTGATACTGGATGGTTGACTATAAATTAGTCATGCAAAAGTGGGGTTGGAAAGTTTCACTAGAACAAGAGTGAAAGCTGTGAATCAGAAAAAGTTTTGGCATATTCTATTAATTTCCAAAGTACATTGTGGATAGAGGATAGTGAACATAAAGAGAATGGTCCTGTTTTAAGTTGGTGATGTAGATATAAGCCAAATCACAAAATTTTGGATTTTATTCTAAAGGCAATGAAAGGCATGAAGTTTCTAACTCTGGAGGGGTGTTCATTGATTTATGGCTATGCATGGAAATGCACTAGTAATAGTTCAGGTGAAGTACGGCAGTGACTTGCATAGGCCTAGTGGTTATAGAAATGGAGAGGGCTGAATACCTTTGAGCTGTGTTATCAAAGAAATCATTTCAACTAAACTCGGTCCTATTTGAAGGCAGGATAACCAATGTATAGCTTCAACAGAAGCATTATTGACATTTTGTGTCTGACACTTTATTGGTATGGAGGATTGTCCTATGCATTGTGGCATCCTTGGCCTCTACACACTAAATGCCAGTAGCATACACACACACACACACACACACACACACACACACAGCTGTCTTGGCAATAAAAAATGAGTGCAGGCATTGCCAAATGTTGTTTTGGGGGAAAAATATCCCCCAGTTGAGAACCACTTCTCTATAGTGATAGGTCTGGTGTCTGGCTTATTGAAGAGCAACAAGCTGGGAATGAAAATAAATGTTAAACTTGACTCCATGGAAACAGGAACAATAGTTTCAGAACCACGGAGAGCGCCAATGATGCAGCAGGCTGAGAAGCAGAGTGGGGATATTCTGCTGCTTCCATCACTTCTGTTATAGAGTGAGTACCACACTTTCCTGGTTTTGAAACCTGCGTATATATAAGGGACAGTGTCTGACATTGAGGTTGAAGTGGGGGACAGTGTCTTACATTTAAGTTGAAGTGTCAATAGGATTGAGCTTGTGATGAGAAAAACAACTATTTTGAGTTGCTGCCTAAGCATTTTATAGCATGAGGACCCTGCTCACACCCAGAGTCTGGACATTTAGATAAGGACCTGAGCTTAAGGCTCCCACCTTAAGTTCCTGCTTCATTTTTCTCAGGGCACCGTTTAAAATAACCACTTAGAGTTAATCCCATGAAAAATTGGTGACCTCCACCCCAGCCACCTTATAAGTAATAGGTGCTTGCTACCCTGCTCTCTGTCTCTTGCTTGCTGGTGACCTAGGACAGAGGATTGCCCTTTCTCCTGGCTTATTGTGCTTCCCCCTTATTCCTGTGGTCTTTAAGTAATAAATCTTGTGACTTTACTTCCTTTAGGTGAGTGTATTAAAAGTGCGCCTTCAATCAAAATGACCCTTAGTTTTTCACTTCCCCAAATGGGAGCTCCAATGCTGAGGGAGCTACCTGCCAACCCCATGTGGATGGCTTGTACCTCCTCCTTCAGCAGGTCATAATCTGCATATTCTTAATTCAACACGCCAGCTACATCTTCTCAACACAGAGCTAGAGTTTTCAAATGATAGTGCATGTCAGAATCTCCTTATGATCTTGGCATTTTCTTTTATTTTTCAATCATTCCACAAAAATTTATCAAATGCTTACTCTGTGCCAAGCCTGTTTTAGACATTTGAGGAAACAGTAGTAAATAAGAGACAAAAATATCTGCTCTCCCGGAACTTATCTCTAGTGGGGAAAGCTTGATAGAATTGTAAATTTTCAGGCTCCAGCCAGAGATTCTCATTTAAGGACTGAGGTGGAGCACAAAAATTTGAATTTTTATCAAGTATCTAGGAATTAAGCTTTAATCACTTTTTTAATGCTTATACTTTGAGAAACATTGAGTTTGAGCCTAAATAAAAATCTCCTATTATAAGTGAACTTGAGCGTCTTTTCATAGGCTTAAAGGTCAGTTGTATATCTTTGTGAATTATATGTTTATGTATTTTGTCCATTTTTGCAATTTTTTGAGTTTTATAGATAATAGAGATATTAGCCCTTTATTCCTCTTTAAGTAGAAAAGACTTCAAAGACTATTTTAGGTTGTAGGACCCACATAAGAAAAGATAAAAGGGATGTAGAATAGCAAATATCCTGGTGTGTTGGACTATAGCAGTGATTTCCAAATGTGGGATTTGTCTTGGCAAGCATGAATAATGGTTTAGATAAAATGTGGATATAGTGCTAAATTACTTTGAATCTCTCAGTAAGTCATCCTTCTAATTATATCCAAAAGAGTAAATTTGGTAGTACTTGATAATCTTGTGTTTTTTTAAAGAAGTAAGAGGCCTCATGCTCAGAGCCATGTGCAGGAAATAGTACCTAACTATAATTTAATAACACTATTTTATTGTTTTTATTTTACTGTTACTTAATATTTATGGTAAAGTTTTCTATTTATGGAACAGAAATATAGTATCATCAAAAACCCATTTATGCTAGGGGCCGGCCTGGTGGCACAAGCGGTTAAGTGCGCTCCGCTGTGGCAGCCGGGGGTTCACCAGTTCGGATCCCGGGCGCGCACCAACGCACCACTTGTCAAGCCATGCTGTGGCGGCATCCCATATAAAGTGGAGGAAGATGGGCATGGATGTTAGCCCAGGGCCAGTCTTCCTCAGCAAAAAAAGAGGAGGATTGACAGATGTTAGCTCGGGGCCGATCTTCCTCACACACACCAAAAAAATTTATGCTAGAAAAAAATGGTGTGAGTTTAAAGGAAAAAAAACAATAAATATAATATAGGTGATGCTTGGACATGGCTGAATCATCTAAGTCGTTCAGAAATAACTTAAATCTTAGGCTTAGATTTACGTTTTATAAGTCTTTAACAAATAGCTATAAGCATTTTTAACATATAATAAGCATTTTTAAGCAATTAACATTGCTTTTGTTTTTCTTGTTAAGCAGTGGTATCTGAGATGCTCTGGCTCAGAAGAGATGGTGGTACATCCAAATGATGCAGTCTTTTAGCTCTTGGCTCAGTTTATCTCAATATGTTTTCCATTTTAAGAGGAGGGAGGAGGAGGAGGAGAAGGAGTAGAAGAAGAAGAGGAAGAAAAGGAGAAATCTTGTATTTTTATATAAGTAGGTATGGCATGTGATTCACAAATGAATAATATCACAAACATTTATAACAAGAGTAGATGACAATCCAGGTTTCTGGTTCCTAATAACTGGTTGCAGGATCCTCACTCCAGGAGGCCTTCGCACAATCCCTGTGAGGGGTCCCTGACTCTCTTTGGTTTTGAACAACAGCACTCCTTTAAAAGTATGATTTACTAACCATCTTATATTAATTCTCCTAATTGATTCTCATTAAAAAAAGCAAAACTTTTTAACAATTTTTCAATTGAGATCACATAAAGAATATTAAAGAAAACATGTATAATCCCACACCCAGAATTGTCATCCTATACTATTTTGCATTATTTAGTTGCATTTTTTTAATAAAATTTTTGACGTAAAGTTAAATTCCTTTTAACACCCCCTCGCTCCTTTTCCAAAGGGCCCTTTTCCTTGTGCCCTTTCCCTTTCCTCAGAGGCAACAATTTTCATAAATTTTAAAACTTTAAAATATATTCTGATACTTTTAAAACATCCAGTTTGTAATAATTGTAAAACATTTATGTAGCTGTTAAATGTGTTGTTTTTCATGGATGTTTTACATAAATTGCATCAAACCATATGCACTAGTTTGTATCTTGCAGTTTTCATTCAACATTGTTTTGATATAGACTCATAATGAGGATATATGAGAATATATGTACGGAATATGTATAAATATGCTATATACTCTATGCTATATACAAATATATAAGAATATATGTATATGTGTGTACATATATATGTATGGATGAGTGTATTATATATAGTCATTCAGTTAGTCATGTATAGTCATTCCTTCCTTTTAACTACTGAGTAATATTCCAATTTACAAACTAACCATATTTTATTTTTCCAGTCCTCTTTTGATGGATATTCAAGCTCCTTCATTTACTTCTATTTTGCAGTTAAGGGAGCTAAAACTCAGTAAGGTGGTTTATCCAAGACTAACCAGCTACCAAAAAGTGAATTTGGGATTCAAATCCAAATCTGTCTGAATCCAAAGACAAGTATGCCTTACAAGTGCACTTTGGTCCCTTTATTTTCCCTTAAGTCACATCTTCAAAGATACAATAATGTAGACACATGCTAGGAATTTTGTGGTGAACTGCATCTATCCAGGCCATATCACATCTCTTGTACTTTGAGAGTTTGAGAATAAATTAGAGTGAGACAAGATCAAGAAAAAATGTGGGGACCGGCCCGGTGGCGCAAGCGGTTAAGTGCGTGTGCTCCACTGTGGCGGCCCAGGGTTGGCCGGTTCGGATCCCGGGCGCGCACCGACACACTGCTTGGCAAGCCATGCTGTGGCGGCATCCCATATAAAGTGGAGGAAGATGGGCACAGATGTTAGCCCAGGGCCAGTCTTTCTCAGCAAAAAAAGAGGAGGATTAACAGATGTTAGCGCAGGGCTGATCTCCTCACAAAAAAAAAAAAAAAAATAGAAAAGAAAAAATGTAAAAAGATGAGCTCATCCATGAGAAGATTTATAAGTGGTCAAGAATGTTTGACATTCTCTTGAAAAATAATATGTATTATTACATATTTTAAAGAAGTAGCATATTTCCAAAGTACCATGTACAAGATACCACACTAAGTCCTTTACAAATACTATTGCTAAATATCACAGTAACCCCAAAGAGAAATATAGATGCTTGCCATTTTACAGATGAGAAGCGAAAGCTAAGGTCTAAATAATTTGCCCACAGCTACATGCTGAATAAGTGGAGAAACTGAGATTCTAATCCTGAACTGTCCCAAACTTGTATTCTTAACACTTACACCATGCTCGGAAGCAAGAGATTAGAATAAAGTTGCTAAATCAGATCTCTGGCGTTCTTCCTTCTTTCACGGCCTCATGACAGGTAATAATAGGCCAGTAGTGTTGGTACACAAAAGGCTGATTTATTTAGATAAAATCATCCGTCTTTCTCAAAATCACTTAAATGAGATCTTTTTGTCTCCTGTTTTTGCTAACAAGGAAAACTTAAAATTTTTATTTATAAATCAAAACATCACCATCCACAGTCTACTAAGTTTTTGAGTTGGTCAAATATCATGGACTTGTATTTCATTCTTAACCTGCAAATCATGATGTAGAACTAACATTTATTGGGTTTTAACCTCAAAATAAAGAGGAAAAAAACAGTTCTAAGCACAAAGTAGCCATTTAATAAATGTTTTTGGAATTGAGTTGCCTCGAATAAAGTTAAACCCTGGGTGGTTATCACAATTTCATTTATGTTGTTAAAGAATACTTCTCCATAAACACCTGAATAATCACAAACTACAGGCTTCAATAAAGTATCCAGCTCACAAAGCCAATTACTGGACTGAAATAGTCAGGTACTTTGTGTTTAGCCCTTCACTTTATTGTGACTTTAGAACTTAAGAGGTGACTGATGAGCTTCCATTAGGAATGGGTGATGTGTAGATCTCCTGAAGTCTCTGTGGATATCTGGTGATTCTCTGAAGGCTGCTGTCCAGTGACCTGGAAAACTAGAAAGGGATGGATGTGCCAGTATCTTGGGACTTAAAGAGCTGCAGGCCAGAAAAGCAGAGAAACTGAAGCTCTGATGGATCAGTTGAGAAGGGCTGGCATCACAGGGGCATTTCCTAGACCTCCATACAAGATACAAATTAAAAAATAAAAAATAAAAGAGCCCCTCTGGCTTTCTTATTATATAATATTACATTCAATTTTAGTTCTGAAACTTCAAAACAGCAACAAATACTTAAAATAGAGGTGTTAAGAGGTGGGAATTGAAGATTAGACATTGTCACCAGGAAATCCCACTCTGTCTAGCAGTCCCACTAGTCCATGAGTCACGGATCAAATCAACGTGCTGAACATACAATTTAGCTTATCGCTAACTGGAAAAATGTGCCTGCTCTTCTCTATAAATTCATGTATTTATTTAATAAACACTAGTTAGGACTTCCCTGTCCTTTGCACTGTGCTAGACCCTATGATGGTCAGGCATGGGGGCTAAATAGACACATATACAAAGAGACACAGCAGTTGAGAGAGTAAATAATGAGAGTTAAGAAATAATTTGCTTTACAGGTTCTCAGAATGTATAGTCAAATTCTAAAATTCAGCTAACAGGAAACTGAAGGACCTGCTTCAGTTTCATCCCACCCAGAGACTGGCAAAGCTGAAGTGTACAGAGAGAGTTAGGAACAAGAATGAAGAGCAGGGCTACCAGTATCAGTCATGCAGCAGGAGCAACCACAGATCCTGGTGACCTGCTCTGCAGATGAACCCAGATGCGTTCACCCCTGAAGAAACCAATGGCCAGCACAGCCACCACAGACCCCCTGCGGATTTCACTGATTTTTCGCCCCACAGTTATTCATTTTTGCAGTCTCTCCTCACCCCGACCCCCCGCTATAGTCCAGGAGCCGCAATGGCAACCAGCCCAGACCTTTGCAGCCAGGCAAGTGCAAGACATCAGCCTAGCCTCCCAATGCCGTGCACGTTCTTGGGGCTAGCTCCTCCAGCTGTGCACTTGCATGCCACCAGTCTGAATCCTATCACCATCCTCTACTGCCGTTTGCCACCGTGGTGAGCTCCTGCAACCACGGAAGTGCACACAGACAACTAAGGACCCCACAGATGCTTTGGGGCCCAGATTTGACCATATCTCCAGTCACTGCCCTGCATCACTGGGTACAGCTATACCACCCTCGCTGTACACCTGAATGCCCCCAGGAAGCGCCTTCTTACCAGGCTTCAGTGTTGTGCACATATGGTGGGGTGATCCTGTAGCCACAGGAGTGCACACTGACAGCCAGGGCCCACACGGCTGCTAGCTGGACTGTATCTGAACCCGTCTTCTGACTCTGGCCTGCACCACAGGGCTCACCTGCAGCTAGCCTCTCCAGCTGTGCACCAGAACATCCCTGGTCTGACCTTCATCATCAGCATCACCTGCCATGCACTTGTTGAGAGACCCTGCAGTCACAGGAGTGCATGCCAACAGCCAGGGTCCAGGCAGCTAACAGTGCAGACACAACAAGCCCAGGTCCTTGCTTCTGGCCCTGGCCTCCACCACTACATGTGTGTCTGAAACTGGCCTCTGCCACTACACACCTGCAGCTAGCCCCCACAGCTGACTGCACATCATCAGCTCCGGCCACCATCACTGCCTGCCCTGGTCCCTAGCCGCTAGACCTGGAGGTGACAGTGAGGACCCCAATAGCCCTTGCAGTCTCTGTGGAGTTCCCAAAGCTCTTGCCAGGGGCAAAGTTGTTGATTCTGTGGACCCCAGCAGTCTGAGCAAATGAGACATCACATCCCCCAGACCTGGAGCCACTGCAAACCTCTGCACAGGACACCCTGCACCACTGGAACCAGGGTCACAGCATTATCCAGCATGTCTCCACCTACAGGTGAAGGTCTTTCCTTACTGAAGTCAGTCCATAAAGTCTGCAAGAGGTGACTGTTTCTTCAAATGTGCAGACACCTACACAAGGCTACATGGGTCATGAAGAATCAGGGAAACATGAAACCACAATAGGAAGACAGTAAACTTTCAGTAACTGACCCCAAAGAAATGGAGATACATGAATTGCCCAACAAAGAATTTAAAATATTTATTCTAAAGAGAGCTACAATAGAACACAGGTAAATGACTTAATAAAATCAGGAAAAAGAAATATAGATACAAACATTAAAAAGAAAAAGCAGAAATTTTGCAGTTGAAGAATACAATCCTTGAACTGAAGAATTCAAAAAAGAGCTACAACAGACAACCAGACCAAGCAGAAGAAAGAATCAATGACTTTGAATATACCTCATTTGAAATTATCTAGTCAGAGCCACAAAAAGAAAAAATTATGAAAATGAATGAAGAAACCCTATGGGATTTTTGGAAAATCATGGAGAGAAATGAGCTATGCATCATTGGAGTCCCAGAAGAAGAATAGAGGGAGAAAAGGGCAAAAAGCTTATTTAAAGAAATAATGACTGAGAAATTCCCAAACCTGGGCAAAGATTTGGACATCCAAGTTTGTGAAACTAATAGGTCATATCAAAATTTCAACCCAAAACGATCTTCTCCAAGATACGTTATAATAAAAATGTCTAAAAACAAAGACAAAGAGAGAATTTTAAAAGCATCAAGAGAACAAAATTTTTCTCTTACAAGAGAATGAAGGTAAGGCTATCAGTAAATTTCTCAGCAGCTTTCAAGTCAGGAGAGAGTGGGATGATATATTCAATGTGCTGAAAGCAAAAAAAGAAAAAGAAAACTATTAACCAAGAATACTTTACTCAGCAAAGTCCTTCAGATATTAAGGCAAGATAAAGACTTTTCCAAACAAACAAATGCTGAGGAAGTTCATCAGCACTAGACATATCTTAAAAGAAATACTGAAAGGAGCATTTCTATATTTCAGTATACTGAAAGGGCAATAATTAGAAACACAAAAACATATGAAAATATACAACACACTGGTAAAGATAAGTATATAGTCAGATTTAGAATACTGTAATGCTGTAATCTGGTGGTGTGTTAACCACTTAACTGTAATATAAAGTTTGAAGGACAAAAGTATTAAAAATAGCTATAGCTAAAATAATTTTTTAATGGAGACAAAATATAAAAAGATGAAATTGTGACATGAAAAACATAAAATGTGGGGAGGGAGTAAAAGGGTACAGTTTTGTATGCCATCAAAGTAAGATATTATCAGGTTAAAATAGACTGTTATATCAATAAGCTGTTTCAAGTAAGCTGCAAGGTAACCGCAAAACAAAAGCCTATAGTAGATACATACGAGACAAAAGAATAGAATCAAAACACTCTACTACAGAAAATCATCAATTCACAAAGGAAGACAACAAGAGAGGAAGAAAGAAACAAAGGAAGTACAAAACAGTCAGAAACAATGAACAAGACAGCAATAGTAAGTCCTTATCAATAATTACTTTAAGTGTAAATAGATTAAATTCTCTAATCAAAAGACATAGCATAGTTGAATGGACAAAAAAACAAACCCAACTATGTGTTGCCTACAAGAGACTCACTTTAGCTTCAATGACACACATAGGCTTAAAGTGAAGTAAGGAAAAAGACACATGCCAATGGAAACCAGGAGAGAGCAGAGATAGCTATACTTATATCAAACAAAATAGACTTTAAACTATAACAAGAGAAAAAGAAGATCATTTTATAATATAATAAATGGGTCAATTCATCAAGGATATATAACTATTGTAAATATATATGTACCCAACATCACAGAACCTAAATATACAAAGCAAATACTAGCAGATATGAAGAGAGTGAGAGAGAACAACACAATTGTAATAGGGGACTTCAATACTCCACTTTCATCAATGGTTAGATCATCCAGATACAAAACCAATAAAGAAACATTGGACTTGTATACTTTAGACCAGACGGACTTAACAGACGTTTACAGAATGTTCCATCCAACAGCAGCAGACTATACAATCTTCTCAAGTGCACATGGAACATTCTCCAGGATAAATTATATGTTAGGCCACAAAACAAGTCTTCACAAATTTAAAAAGACTTAAATCATATCAAATATCTTTTCCAAACAAAATGTCATGAAACTACAAGTTAATAACAGAAGGAACATTGAAAAATTCACAAGTATGTGGAAATAAACTAACACACTCCTGAAAACCAATGCATCAAATATGAAATCAAAATGGAAATCAAAAAACATCTTAAAACAAATGAAAATGGAAACACAACATACCAAAACTTATGAGATGTGGCAAAAGCAGTGCTGGGAGGAAAGTTTATAGTGATAAATGCCTACATTAAAAAAAAGAAAGATCTCAAATAAACAACCTAACTTTATACTTCAAGGAACTAGAACAAGAACAAACTAAGCTGAAAGTTAGCAGAAGGAAGGATAACAAAGATTAGAGCAGAAATAATAGAAATAGAGAATAGAAAAACAATAGAAAAGGTAAACAAACCAAGTTGTTCTTTCAAAAATATTTATAAAAATTAACAAACTTGCAACTAGACTTACCAAGAAAAACAGAGAAGACTCAAATAAACAAAATTAGAAATGAAAGAGGAGACGTTACAACTGATATGACAGAAATACAAATAATTATAAGAGATTATTATAAACAATTATATGCCAACAAATTAGAAAAATGTAAACATCCCTAGAAACGTATAACTTACTAAGTTTGAGTCACGAAGAGATAGAAATCTGAGCAGACCAATATCAAGTAAAGGGATTGAATCAGTAATCAAAAACCTCCCAGGAAAGAAAAGTCCAATACCAGATGACTTCACAGGTGAATTATACCAATCATTTAAAGAAAAATTAAACACACACCTCCTCAAACTCTTCTAAAATATCGAGGAGGAGGGAACACACCCAATCTCATTTTATGAGGCCAGAGTTATCCTGATATTAAAGCCAGATAAGGATACTACAGCAAAAGAAAACTGCAGACCAATATCCCTGATGAATATAGATGCAAAAATTCTCATCAAAATCTAGCAAACAACATTCAAAAGCACATTAAAAGGATCATACAACATGATCAAATGGGATTCATCCCTAAGATGCAAGGATGGTTCAACATATGAAAATCAATAAATGTGATCCACCACATTAATAGAATGAAAGACAAAAATCATGTGATCATCTCAATAGATGCAGAAAAAGCATTTGACAAAATACAGCATTTTTTCCCAACAAAACTCTCAACAAATTGAATATAGAAGGACATACCTCAACATAATAAAGGCCATATATGACAAACTCACGGCTTACACTATACCCAAAGGTGAAAGGTTGAAAGCTTTTCTCTATGATCAGGAACAAGACAAGAGTTTCCACTCTCACAGCTACTATTCAACATAGTACGAGAAGTCCTAGCCAGGTCAATTAGGCATGAAAAAGAAGTAAAGACACCCAAATCAGAAAGGAAGAATTAAAACTGTCTCTGTTTACTGATAACACGATCTTGTATACAGAAAATCTTAAAGACTCTACCAACAAACTGTTGGAACTAATCAATGCATTCAGTAAAATTTCGGGGTACAGAATTAACATACAGAAATCACTTGCATTTTTTTAAACCAGCAATGAACTATCTGAAAAAGAAATAAAGAAAACAATCCCTTTTACAATACCATTAAAAACAATAGAATGCTTAAGAATAAATTTAAACAAGCAGGTGAAAGATATATACATCAAAAACCATAAGACATTGATGAAAGAAATTGAAGAAGACACAAGTAAATGGACAGATATACTGTTTTCATGGCTTGGAAGAACTAATATTGTTAAAATGTTCATAATACCCAAAGATATCTATAGATTCAATGCAATCCCTATCAAAATTCCAACGGCATTTTTACAGAAATAGAAAACACAATTCTACAATTCATATGGAAGCACAAAATACCCTGAATAGCCAAAGCAATCCTGAGAAAGAGAATAAAGCTAGAGGCATCACTCTTCCTGATTTCAAACTATATTACAAAGCTGTAGTAATCAAAACAGTATTGTACTTGCATAAAAATAGACACATAGACCAATGGAAGAATGAAGAGCCCAGAAAAAACCCTCACGTATACAGTCATCTAACATCTGAAAACAGAACCAAGAACACTCAAGGCGGGAAAGGATAGTCTCTCCAATAAACGGTATTGGGAAATCTGGATGGATAATGACATGCAGAAGAATGAAATTGGATCCCTATCTTACACCACTCACAAAATTTAACTTGAAATAGATTAAAGATTTAAATATAAGACTTGATACTGTAAAACTCCTACAAGAAAACATAGGGAAAAATTCCTTGACATTGGTCTTTACAATGATTTTTTAGATATGATACCAAAAGCACAGGCACCTAAAGCAAAAATCAACATGTGGGACATCATACTAAAAAGCATCTGTACAGCAAAGGAAACAAAGAAAAAAAATGAAATGGCAACCTACAGAATAGGAGAAAATATTTGCAAGCCATATATCTGATCAGCAGTTAATCTTCAAAATATAAAGAACTCATACAACTCAACAACAAATAATAAAGAATTCAATTTAAAAATGGCTAGAGGAACTGAATAGACATTTTTCCAAAGAAGACATCCAAATGACCAACAAGTACGTGAAAAAGAGGCTCAACATCACTAATCATCAGAGAAATGCAAATCAAAACCACAATGAGATATCACCTCACACTTGTTAGAAGGGGTATCATCAAAAAGACAAGAGACAAGTGCTGGTGAGGATGTGGAGAAAAAGGAACCCTCTAACCACTCTTAGAGGAAAGGTAAATTGGTAAAGCCACTATGGAAAACATTACGGAGGTTCCTCAAAAAATGAAAAATAGAACTACCATATGATTCAGCAGTTCCACTTCTGGTTATATATGCAAAGGAAGCGAAATCAGGATCTCGAAGAGATATCTGCACTGCCATATTCGTTGCAGCATTGCTAACAATAGCCAAGATATGGAAACATATCTTGTGTTCATATATGAAAGAATGGATAAAGGAGATGGAATAATAATGGAATATTATTCAGCCATGAGAAAAAACCAAACTCTATTTGTGACAATGTGAAGGCATTATGCTAAGTGAAATAAGTCAGAGAAAGACAAATACTGTATGATAACACTCATATGTGGAATTCAAAAACATCGTACTCATAGAAACAGAGTAGAATGGTGGCTGCCAGGGACTGAGGGCTGGGGGAAATGGGGAGATGTTCATCAAAAGGTACAAACTTTCACTTACAAGATGAATAAGTTCCAGGGATCTAAGGTACATCCTGATGACTATAGTTAATACGGTATTGTATACTTGAAAGTTGCTATGCGAGTAAAGCTTTAATGTTCTCACCATAACAGCAACAAAATGGTAATTATGTAAGGTGAAGGATGTGTTAACTAACCTTATTGTGGTAAACATTTTGCAGTATATACATGTATCAAATTACCATATTGTAAGCCTTAAACTTACACAATGTTATAATTCAATTAAATCTCAGTAAATCTGGAAAAAATAGTTTGCTTTACAGGTGCTCAAAATGTGTAGTCAAATTCTAAAATTCAGCTAAAAATGTTATCATTATAAGATGACAAGGCAAAATGTCAAACTGTGAAATGTGTGCCACAAAATCTAAGTGGTTATTTGTCTTGTGAGAGAGCTCACATGAAAGTTTTGTAATGTGAGTGAGTTGGCACAAAGGGTAAGAAGGAGTGGGTGGTCACCACCAAGGTCAAGATAAGACCTGACCTCTGGCTTCATAGTTTACAAAGTGTCTGAAGAAGTCTTCCTCCCTGCAAATATGCCATAATTCTCTTTGTAGCCAATGGTCTTATAGAAACAGCTGCCTTCCTCTCAAAATCACAGTCCTCTGTCCAGTTTCTGGACCCCTGCTTGCAAATTCCCACAGCCAAAGACACTTAACCTTTGCATCCAGGCCCATCTGGGACCAATCCTCTTCCACGCACCAACTCTGTGCCAGCGCCTTGATGGCTCAGTGTAAGTTCTGTCCACCCAATATCCCCTTCCCAGTGTTTCATGATCCTTGAATCTGTATTTTAGCAACTGAATTTTTTTTAAATTCCATCACATCAGATGTACTCCCGATATTATTGTTACAGTACTAGATTTCTCCTTTGCTTCCTTGAGCCAGAAATG